TTCTGGTTTCTTTTAATCCAGTCTGTAAAATTACAAAGCCCCATTCATGACATAATGATAAAAATGACATATATTGTGGCTACTTTTTAATATATCGTGGGAACAAGATATTGCAACATGGCTACATTTTAGTTATTAGTTCTCTCATTTTAATTGAATTATGGCCACATTTTAAGATTTAACTAAATGAGGGAACGCATTACTAAAATGTTTTATTATTGTGTGATGTGTGGGGCTCTGCAATAAATGGTGTCAAATGTCTTTGTCAATCCCACAGTTTGAGTACGAAAAAAATGAGAGCGGCGACAGGGTCATCCTGGGGAAGGGGACCTATGGAGTCGTCTACGCTGGAAAAGACACCAGCAACCAAGTTCGCATCGCCATCAAGGAGATTCCAGAGAAGCATTCCATGTGCGTAAATATGCTCCCTGCCGCCCCGGACTCCCTGCACTTCCGTCCGTGTCACTGTGATTTGTCATGCAGCTGCATGAGATTCTGGGGGGAGAAAAAGCCATGTGGTCGTAATGTGGTGGTTGCAGTTGCTGTTGGAGGATCGATGACTGTTTAGATTCTCAGATGCCATGTTTACAGGAATAATAGATTATTTGCACAGCTGGTTTATATACGGCCGCAGAGATAAGTCCCAATTCCAGTCTCCTTGCCGTTTTTGGCACTGGCTCCACATCATGCAGCCGCTGCCCTTCTGCGATCGCGCTCTAATGTTCCACTCGCCCTCTGCCCCGTCTCAGGTATTCCCAGCCGCTCCATGAAGAGATCGGCCTGCACAAGCGGCTGAAACACCGCAACATCGTCCAGTACCTGGGCTCCATCAGCCAGGGGGGCTACATCAAGATCTTCATGGAGGAAGTTCCTGGAGGTAGCCTGCCCCGCTCACCACGCCCCCAGTCTGACCTTAACGGTCTGCTTGGGAAGCACAACTGGATCCACCAGTCTGTCTCTTTCATGCTTCCACATTTCACATTTGCAGTCAAAGGACATTTTTTTTTCTCTCTTTTTTAAATTGCTTCTTCCTGTTTGACGTCGAACGAGCGCCCTCATCCATTCCCCGAGGCGGGAATCCCAGACAGATTGCAAAATGACTTGGATGTGAGTTCCAGGAAGCTGTAGGCGGCTGCGCTGCATACCCTGTTTACAGGAAGACAGGCCATGTAGGGCAAGAGTCTGCATGCAGGACAGGAGAAGTGATGTTCTGGAGCGCAGCAAGGACAGGCAATGCGTCCTTTTGAACCCTCACGTCTCCACATGCCGCTCTCTCCATGCAGGAAGCCTGTCTTCTCTCCTGAGGTCCAAGTGGGGACCACTGAAAGGCAATGAAGCTACCATAGTATTCTACACCAAACAGATCCTGGATGGGCTCAAGTATCTCCATGACAACCAGATCGTTCACAGAGACATCAAGGTACAAAATCTGGGAAGTAACGACTTGGAAACAGACTGGCCTTTGTAAACAACTGGTTAACTGCTAAATTATTCGCATATTAAATTGTATTATCCAAAGCAATATGCAGCCTTGTGCAAATTAATTGAAACAAGTAGTAATGTTTTAACAGTCTGATTTTCATTTTCATTCCGGAAAGCCTTCATTAGACACTTTTTCAGTGGGTTGGGGTTACATCATCGTATGTGTGAAATTTCATCATTGTTACATTTCCTGACGGGTCAGGCATCTTTCAGCATGATCTGGCTCCGTGCCATATGTCCAAAATGGTGAGGAATTTCATCAACAAAAAGAAAATCAAGGTATTTCACTGGCCTGGAATCTCTCTAGATTTAAAGCCTATAGAGAATCTATGGTCAGTCAAGCAAACAACGCCTTTGTGGAATGGGCTGTTCCACAAAAGATAAGATTATTCAAGCGTTAATTCAGACATGATACTGAGACCCCAAGATCATCAGAGACTGCTCAGGATCTCATCCGAATGGTACTAAAAAGCCGAGCAGGTCATATTATATATTGAAATGTTGACATGTCAAACTTATTTCACTTAATTTGCACAAGGGTGTAGCTACGACAGGGCATGGTGCCGGTGGGAAAAGGGCGGCGGTCCACTCATGGCTCCAAGACACAAAGGAGTAGACCACAAATAAAGACCACATGGGGTCAATAACAAACAGGGGACCGTAAGAATAATCTAAAAGAGACCACAAAGTAACACAGCTAGAGAAGTGAGCTGAATAGGGAACAGGACTAGGAAGCCAAGCAGAGTAACGTATGTGCAGGAGCAGGAACAGTATGACCAATCCACAGAGAGACAGGGCAGCAAGCAGCAGGTGGGGTTAGCTGACTATAACCAATAAATACAAATAAACAGATGAGGCTGGTCGCAAACCCATGGCCAGAGGAGTTATAGTCTCAGAACCACACATACAACCCATTGAGCTATGTGGTGGTCCAGGAAGTAAGGGGAATACACTAGGGCTGAAAGGCTAGGAGACGGGGGGGGATGCCCCCCCACCTGCGGGGTCAAATGGGGATAAAACACATAGGCCAGGGTCGGATAGGCACTGACCCTGACAATCAGATGCCATTCACCGTGTAGATTTACTGACGTACGTATGATTAAGTTACATTTGTAGTCACCAAGCTAGCTGTCATCCTGTAAACAACTCATCAAGTAAATATCTGTAGTAAGATTAACACCCTGACGTTGTCAATGTGTGATAATTTAAACAATATATTTACAGAACACAATTTTGACTGAGTCAGAGTGAGTCAGAATTTCCTTCTCTGAAAGATGTGGAAGACTGCGTCATATTTAATTAAGAGCAAATACGCAGGATCCAAATATCAGTATTTGTGTTACAGGTAGTTGTGGAGAAAATAAACTTAATAAACAATCTGTGTAGAACTGAGTTCACTGTCTGTAACATAGTGACAGGTGTAAACGATGTGGGTCAGGGTCTTAATGTCTGTCCTACCATCAGGGGGACAACGTGCTCATCAACACTTACAGCGGGGTGCTGAAGATCTCGGACTTTGGCACGTCTAAGAGGCTGGCCGGCATCAACCCCTGCACGGAGACGTTCACTGGTAAATGATGACCGGACCAACCCATGACCTTTTGGGAAGGGGTGTGTTTATCTCCACTGTCGTTCTGACACCCATCTGACCCGACTCCACCCAGGCACCCTGCAGTACATGGCCCCGGAAATCATTGACCTGGGCCCCCGAGGTTATGGGAAGCCCGCCGATATCTGGTCCCTGGGCTGTACCATTATCGAGATGGCCACGGGGAAGACCCCCTTCCATGAGCTGGGCAACCCCCAGGCAGCCATGTTTAAGGTTAGGGTCAGAGGTCAAATCTTCTGCTCTTCCTGTCATATATAAACACGCCTTGTTGTAGTTAACAGATACAAGAATAAAGATTTCATCCTTCTTTGGCAAGTTGAGCATGATGATCTATCCAACCTAACTTCCAAATGCTTGTCTGTTATACAAGGATAAATAAACTTTATGGATGTGTAAAATTAATAATCATTATAATCATGTAATTGTATAATGTTTGTTATCAATGTGTATTAAAGCTGTTGTGGTATGTTAACATGTTAAGGTTTACTTACATGCTGCTTATGAATGTTCTATGAATGCGTAATGAATGCATTATGAAGGTGCACTGAATGTTCTATGAATGCGTAATGAATGCATTATGAAGGTGCAGTTAATGTAAATGTTACTTATATTTGGTACGATCCCCCCCCTGCCTGCGGTCTAGGTGGGCATGTTTAAGACCCACCCCACCGTTCCAGAGAGCATGTCCGAGGCAGCAAAGACCTTCATAATGTGCTGTTTCGAACCCGACCCGGACAAGAGGGCCACTGCCTCCAGGCTGCTGCAGGACATCTTCCTCAAGCTGAACGGGCGGAAGAAGAAGGTCAAGCCTGTGGGGCCCCAGATTGAGAACCCCGGCAGAGTCGCGCGGGCGTTTCCCCTAGGTGCGTTTGCTGCGGGCGGCAGGGTGCCCATGTGATTGACTTTACAGTAAAGCGACATACTGAGTAGCAAAGCTGCTGTCACCTCAGGGGCTTTGTACCTTGACAAACCTAACTTAGGTCCAGCAATTCCGGAATTTGCCCCTAAATGAACAGTTAATTCCCCTTCCTGCTGATACCCCTATTTCATGCCAACCTTCTGCTCCTCCTTCCATCCCCTTATTTTAACTACTTATCTAACGCTCAACAAAGTGATTCACTTTGGGGCCACGGTCCTCTCTTCAACGTGTTTGTGGCAAGGATTCCTTAACACCACTGCCCCCTATAGGTGAACTCCATCGCAGTCATTCCATGCCCACCTCTGAGCAAGCTGAGGACTGCAGCCCGGCACCAAAGATGGACTTGGGCAGCTCTTTGGACCTGAGGAGGGTCATGCCCACCTGCCCGAAGAAGCAGGGGTTGGACAGCTTCTTATCGTAAGCAGATGACAGAATCACACACATCACCCATTTGTAATCTAACCCACAATCACATTCTGGGTTGCGGAGGAAAGTCACAACACTTCACGCTCTCAGAGGCGAGCTGGGACTCGAACCCGCACCCCTCGGAGCCATGAGGCCACAGTTCAATTCCTTGAGCCAGTGCGCCTTATCTGAGCTACTCATGGGACACGGTGATAGCAAATAGGTGCCTTTTGTAATGCAGGCTTTACCATGCTGGTTACAGTCCCAGAGTTTCAAGATAACTGATAATTCAGTCCGAGGTCCGACAGGTAGAATAGCATTTATCTGGTTTTGGTTTGTTGGTTTGTTTAAGCAGAGATTTCCTTTGTATTTTCATTTTATTGTAAACTGCAGGCTCTCTTTTTGTTCTGAGCTTCCTTTGGGAAAAGGATGTGTGCCGAGGACAGCCAGCTGCGTCCTTTATGTGCTGACTGGCTGGCCGTGTCCTGATTTTATCCGCTTTTATTGCCGTTGATTGGATTCCTCCCTACAGCAAGACCAATGACATTGCAGCTTTATGGTGTTTAATTGTAACTGATAAGGAAACGTAACTTTACCACTGGGTCAAAGGAGAGTAATATCAGTCACAGAAACTGCGGTTATTTCTGAAAGGTGCCCGCAGATTGTGTAGTGATGGACACAGGAGAACCCACAATGTGGAGCCAGACCGTGTCTTATTGCAATGACGCCGCTCGTCTGAATGTGCTGTTAGCACCTTTGTGATATACTGGAGGACAGCTACTCAGCACACGTTAACTGCCCAGAGGTAGGAGTGTGCTTTTTGTCAGACCAGCATAAAAAAATGAAAAAAATCAGTCTTGGACGTAAATTCGTCCTGTTGGCAGAATCCCAGACGACACATCGGACATCAGCCCATTCACGACAGGGGAAAACCTGGGCCTGTTTCTCTTGAGGAAAGTCAGCGAGCGGAGAACCACGCTGAACTCCATCCTGTGCGAGAACATCAACACCGTGGTGAGCAACATCCAGGAGATGCTGCCCCAGGTAGGTCAGCAGCCGTAACCATAACAACTCTCACTGGCAGGGCTGTCAGTCAGTCACAGGGTGCACAGTGCTTCAGGGACACGTATGCATGGGGACTTATGCATGGGCAGGGCCTTGGGGGCGCTGGCCCCAGCGGAAAGCTGATTGGCCCCCTCGCATGTCACTCAACAGTTCAAAAAACATCATTGGCTAAGTGTAAGGTTAACCCCTCACCTTAAAAGAATACTAAAATCTTTCCCGGCACACACACCCCACAATGAAAAATGCAGCCCTGCTTGTACGGTGCCTTGATGTCACCGGCTGTTTCGGTGTTGCAGAGGCTAAAAATCTACACAGACTACCTGCAAAAAGTGTCTAGTCACATGACCTGTTGTCTAGGTGATTTTAAGATGGCATTGACATGAGTCATTCCATTCGTCTTTGAATTAAATTAACCCCTGAATAACCCATCACCACGCCCTGGTACGGTATGTTTCGGTAGATGTTTAACGACTGGCCCCGTTCCATGGCTCTGTCTCAGCATCCGGAGGGTCATGCCCCTTCCAAGCAGCACATCACGGACCTGATCTGCTGCCTCCGGGAACACGTGCACCAACCGGACCGGACCAAGCTGAACAGCTGCCTCAAGAAGCTGCGCTCCAGCCTGCTAGCGGTGGCAGTGTCCCAGAACAGCGTGCAGGCAATGCTCTTTGGCTTCCAGGACGCGGTGGGTTATGGCAGAGTATAACCTATGGCTGCCCATTGGGGTCAAGGGTCTACGTCTAACCGTGTCTCTATGAGGAGGGCGTGTAACCAAACCCCCCCCATACTGTAACATGAGCCCTGTAGCATGGGAATAACAAAAGTCTAAAGATTACAGTCTAAAGATTTAATGGGATTCAAAAGGTTCATTGTTATCTGTACTAGTACAAGTACTGAGTGCAATGAGATGCTCACTTGTGTATTTTCTGCAGAGAAACACAAAGGTAATAGGATATAGGTCAAACAGTTAGGTAAAATATATATATAACTGGAAATGTAAATGTAAATATGGATGTATGTGGAAGAAGAAATATGGTTTGTACTTTGACGTCACCTTGTGCGTCAAAGATGTCATGTAATTAGGGGTGTATACCCAAAGCTGTGACAGAAATAATATTTATTACATAGCTCATATTAGAATCATGATAGTTAGGATGACTGGAATATTGGTCACGCACACTGTCAGAATTGGGAAATGTTCAGTCGAGTGAACACGAGTACCTGGTTAGGGCCGTCTGCAGCAGTTGACGGGCCCTCGTGTGACGAGTGTGAGAGGTGAGCGGGAAGCAAATTTCCTCACCATTAAGTGTGTAATGAGCCATGAAATCGTCTGCTAAGTGTGACGATCTGGGCTCATCTGCGTCCAGCCGTTGGGGTTTACAGCCTACAGGCTATGGCCGTGTTTTACCAGATGCCCGCTTCATTGATTGGTCTTGACTGAGGTTTTGACAATATTTAAATGATACTGCAGAGTAGCTGAGGACCTACGTTAAAGGAGCAGTTCACCCGAAAACTGAAAAAGGTGTGTTTTAGAGGAGCTTTGGTGTTGTCTGTCCATCTACGTTGTTCTGCTGGGAGTTGTTTAGTTTTGGGGATATCGGCCACAGAAATGTCAGGCTTCTCTTGAATGTAATGGGACTGAATGGCTTTCTTTCTGTGGTGATTAACGTGCCAGAAAAATGCAGTTGAAATGTCTCTTGGTCGTCATCCCTAGGGACTGTAGCCCTGAGTATTTTAGTCCCAATGCCAATCTTCCTTCAAAAAAAAAAAAACTCAGGCGTCAGATAAATCTGACTTAGCTCTTGATCTTTTCAATAGCTAGGAACACCCCTGCTCTTACTAGAAATCATGACCCAGTTACTCAAGGCAATCCACAGACTTTGTAGTGAGCAGTTTAATGTATGAAGTATTTTCTTCTACCAAACTCCACACACCAATCATATCACTGCGCAGAAGATATCGGCGAGATCCTCATGCTTCCAATCTGACCTTCTATGAAGAGGAATAGAATGAGTCAATATTTATTTGAATCGCCATATCCCCTAAGTCACTACAATGCATTTTTAAAAGCTAAGCACATAATTATAGCACCATAACCAGAGCCATTGTTTAGATTGTCTCTGCTTCACTGTTTTAGGTGAGGAAGGTTCTGAAACAGCAGCAGGTTAAACCTCATTGGATGTTTGCCCTGGACAACCTGCTGAGACAAGCCGTGCAGGACGCAATCGTGATCCTCCTGCCAGGTAGGGGCCGCCCCTCGACACCCCCAGGGTCCACCCACACTGACTCGACCAGCCAATGCTTGGGCGTTAATGTTGATTGACAGGTAATGTCTTGCCTGCTCCAGAACTGCAGCTGCAGCTGGACGATACGGAGGAGGCGGGCGATGGGGAGCTGGAGAGCAGCCCCAGCAAGAAGAAGCGGGAAGCTGCACCAGTCACCCTGTGGGAAGCGTCGAACTCAGAGCAGCCTACGCCCAGCTTGCCTGACATTAGCAACTACCATATCACTCTCACAGAGACGCTGCGACAGATTCGCCAAGACACGAAAAGGTACCTGCCTGGATTCCCCAGGGCCATAAAGACTTGACCCCTTCTGTGCCAAAACGCTGAGCCCACTGCACCACTTCTGATCTACATGCGACACACAGTTTAAACTTTTGAGTAGTGGTGTAGATACTCGATTGATGTTAAATGCACTTTGCAGTCTACACTGTCAGAAAAAGGGTACATCCCTAGTACTGTTTTGTACCCCAAGGTACAAGCAACATTGATGTACCCCCAACTGCACAAAAATATCCCTGTCAATTTCTGTACCTTAAATTACCTTCACCTGCAGCTAAGGTACAGTTGGCACAACCTTGAGGGTACATCCTCATTAACAAGTAATCGTACCTTCAGAGGTACAAATTGGTCCTTTTTCTTCTCACAGTGTAGAGCAAACGGTTTTTAGTAATAGTGCTGCGACAATTAGGGCGCAATATGTATGAAATAACTTCAGTGCTTCATGCAGAGCAAAAAGACATTGATTATCATTATGCTTAAAATTCAGATGTTTACAATATGTAAGCGAGCATGTTTGTTTGTATGGCCAGTAGAGGGCAGTGTTGTGGTTTGGCTGTACAAATTTTCGAATTTTTTAGAATGTAGTGATTAATTGTCATTGTTAACACACCACAGCACACAGTGCACAACAAAGAAATGTGTCCTCTGCATTTAACCCATATGTGACATAGCAGGGGGCAGCTAATTCGGTGCCCGGGGAGCAGTGCTTGGGGGTGGTATCTTGCTCAGGGTACCTCAGTGGTGCCTTGCTGGTCGGGGATTCAAACCTGCAATCTTTCAATTACAAGTGCGCTTCCCTACCCATTAAGCCACCACTGCCCACAATATGGGAAGGTTTGATGAGTTTTTGATGAGTATTTTGAAATACAGGAAGGTTTGATGAGTTTCTGGTCAGTTCCCCCTTCACTCATACCATGAGCCCTGTTTTCAGGCTGCTGACTGAGCTGAGAGAAAAGGAGGAGGAATATCAGAAGCTACTGATGGACATGTTGCAGGAGAAACAGGAAATTATTCTGGACTTCAAAACCAGGGGAAATTGCACCCCTACAGGTGAGGCTGACTCTGTGCAGTTTTTGTTTCAAGAACTAACGATGAATATCCTGCAGTTTTCCTCATAAAACTGACGGCTATTAATTTAATAATTATTCTGTCTGACCTATAGAAACAAAGCCACTTTAGGCCACTTCAACTGCACAACAAAGAAAAAACCTGCCGTTTCCAAGCCAGCAGGCCAATAAACAAGCTTACACTCATGCCCAGAAGTTTCTCCTGCTAGCTGTGAAAGTTTCTCAAAGTCGCAGCTATCTTCCTTGCATAAGGCCGGTGATTCTGCTCCCTGCGTAGTACAGAGTGTAACCACGGCGAACAATGAGAATGGAGACCGAGGCAGTAATAGCAGTTTGTCGTTCCCAGTGAAACGTAGCCGCTTAATTACACGCTGGAGCCTTTGGCGTTTAATCGCTGGTCCCTTAGCAACAGACCTAAACCGGTTTTTATTTAGGCATCTGACTTTCTCTGACTCAGCAGTGAGAAAAGCGTGATTTATTGGGGTTGCTGTGGCCGATTTGCAGCCCGCATGTGGGTGAGGATGGTTCAGGCATCCTGGGAAGGCCCACTCTGAGCTGCCTGCCCCCCCTGCGTGCTCCCCATGCGCCCTGCCCAGACAGCAGCCCCGCTTTCTGAAACCCAGTCCCTGCTGCGTCTTGACATTCATGTCGCAGCCATATTCACACAGGCTGCTTAACTTTCACATTCTGGTTTTCGATCCCGTGTTTCTGTAATTCCCACACCCTCTCTTGTTCGTTGAGTTTTTAGTCTGACTTGTTTCTGGCAATTTTTGCGTTTTACCACTGGGCAAATTCATACCAAAACCTTGGATGTTTGTTTTTTGCTTCATTCGGTGCTTACCCCCCCCTCCCCCCCCCAGGTGTCCTCAGTCCACACTGCCCTCCCTTACACCCTTTTCCTGGTCTGATTGTCGGGAGATCGACCACGTGCTGTTTCCAGGGGAATCATTAATTGGGTTATGGCAGCGGCTGCATTTGATGAGCCCAGTTTAAACTTCACTCAGTTAAAAGCTGCCTCAGGCAGAGCTTCAAACACACACACACACACACACACACACAGGTGAGTAATTATATCTTTGTGGGGACTCTCTATTCATTTCTATGGGGAAAACTCTAATCCCAACATGACGACCTTAACCCCTACCCAGCCATAACCTTAATCATATGTAACCAAACAAAATACGAGACCTTTGGCATTTTTAGATTTTTGATCGCATTTACAGATCTGAAAAATGGTCCCCACAGTGTTAAAACAACAGGCTTTTATCACATTGTGGGGGATATTTGGTCCCCACAATGTAATATAAACCTAATACACACACACACACAAAGCTCTGCATGCTGGCACAATGTTGTCAGTTCCTCAATAATCCCTCCTCTTCCCTCCCTTCTCAGAAACCGTGTGTCCCTCTCACCATGTCGAAGTGCCAGACCCTGAGGCTTTGTCGCTTATACGCTGGTTGAGAAACGTACCGGTGGATGAAAACACCATAGAAATTGTAAGTGTGTGTGCATGTGCATGTATATGCATGTGTGCGTGCATGTAGGTGTGCATGCATGTCTGTATGTATTATGTGTGTGTGTGTGTGTGTGTGTGTGTGTGTGCATGCGTCCATGCATGTGTATGTGCATGCGTGTGTGTAGGTTTGTGTCTGTGTCGATGTGTACACAGTGAGTAGTGGAGTAAAGGATTATCGAGGACTAACACAAAGGCAGGACAGCTGAGTCATCGTCTAACTGTTGGGTGATCTCTGGATTTCAGCTGCTTGTGCACCAGTTCACTCTGGAACTCCTGCTGCAGGCTGCCTCCAGGGACGATCTGAAGTACTGCAAGATTAGGTGAGCCGTCGTAAATCTGCACTGTCACGGTCCCCACTGAAGCGCTGAGCTGCTGTTGGTGTCATTTTTCAATGGTTATAATATGGTTAAAATAAAGGGTCCTATTATTTCCACCTGGGATGCTGAACAAAATGTTACCGGAGGTTTTGCGCATGAAAGCTGCCCAGCGTTTCTTGAGAACGGAGAGAAATTCCCTGTGTCCCGCAGATTTGGGAATGGCGTGTCCTCGGACTGGATGCGTGTTTTCTGCGGGATTCCCCAGGCAGCCACTGTCACAATGTGATGCAGGGACATGAAGCAGCCTGAGATCCGTTAGTTGATGGTGCCATTTTCTCCACAGGGGGGGCATGGTTTGCCGGCTTTGGAATGCCATCGTGGCCCACAGGAACTTAACCAACAGCCACGGACACGAGCGTGAGGAGACCTTCCGGTGACGTCGGCGCTGTGGAGCTTGGAGAGATCTGGCTTCCTGCTGCCTGAATCATCTTGGACGCCGATCCAAGTTCTTATAGTAGCAGACAGTTATGTTTTTCTCCCAAATATAGCTGTAGGACACAAACATGGTATCTCACCTACCCTGGAGATGGATATTAGTGGCGTCCGAGTCATAGGTCAGCGGCTCTGTTCTGGATCACAGACCAATGCGGGTTTTATTTAAAGCTTATTTAAGGTGTTAAGTCTTAACTGTAAATACGGGGCCATGATATAAACTGTGAAATATTTCATAGTATGTATATATAGATGTGTCTGTATTGCATGTCATCTGGGACAGTGTAGAAAGTGTGTACAGACTAGGACTGAGTATGCGTGACATCATCACTGAGCGCCGCCCCACTCTGGGCGATTCGTCGTTTTGCTGTTTTAGGCAAAAGCTACATGTAACCAGAGCCAACACTGGAGACCTGCACCACTGCTAAGGAACGTGTCACTGCAGCACAGAGCTGCGGAATTCTTGCACTACACCAGAGATTAATGCTTAGTCCAAGGAGAGGCCTGCCTCTTACGGTACTGCGTTTCAGTCCCTGTGTCTACTGAGCGGCTGACGGTCTTCAGTCATTAAAGGGGCGGGTCAAAACTGTGCCCATCCTGCTGGGGGCTGAGGAGGTCTCACACGACGGCGTGGTTCATTAACAAAATGGACAGAAGTGTATTGCTTATGGTAAACATATGCAACAGTAAACTGAATATTTAATGCATATAATTAGGGGCACAGGATCAGTTCAGTTTTCATGTTAAAGAGCTTTGAGATGACTGTGGTGTGACTGCCAGAATCCAGAAATCATGCAGTCGGCTTTCTCACTATTTATTATGTTTATCTATTAAGTCTCGATATCAAGGCTAAATTACTGGGTGCCTTGTGTATTTTATTTAAGTGTGTCACTGTTCTGATGGTCACACAACAAACTGTTCAGGGGAAAACCAATTTAACTTATATTTTACTCTTTTCAAATATGAATTTTAATAAGTCTTAGGTATTTCATTGAAATTGAACTTGAAATTGGTAACATTTGTCTGGTGAGGGAACAATACTCTCAAAATGTGCAACTTTATATTGCATCTCTGATATCATTCATCTGTCTTTTAATTCATGACAATACTTTAAATTTTAAGTTTGTAGCCATTGTTGAATCATTTTCAAACTAAAGGAATATCTTGCCAGATAAACAAAACAAACGGAGTCCATTAAAAGTGGATTCAATAAATAACGTTAGTGCAGGCGCTACAAAGTGGCTTGTTGTCTTTATTGCCTCCATGACACAGCGGGGAAGCTCCAACCATAGCGGGGGCTGGGGGTCCATCTCCTGTGGGACTGATCATTATACTGTTGTTCTTATTTTCTCAATATTTTTCTGAACATAAACTGGCATCTGTTATTCTCTTCCTCTCTTTTTCTCAGTTTGTCTGCCGCTCCCTCTTTCTTTGCTTTCTGTTTTTCTCTGTCTCTCTCTTCCTCTCGTTCTGCCTCTCTGATGGAAGAAATGACCCGTGTGAGTTCTGGTACAGAACATTCCACACGTGCTGCCCCCCTTCTGTTGTTATACTGTTGACATCACCTTGGAAACGGGTGTTGACCTTCCTGTTAGTTGTCTGCCCGAGATGTAGACCGCTGAGATGGGGCAGGGCTTGGTTTGCGGACTGGAGACTGTGGTGTCTCCCACTGTTCAGTTTCCTCTGGGTTGCATCATCGTACTTATCACTGCATACATATCAAACGGTGTCCAGAGGCAATGTCACTTTGTTTATACAGCCAAAGGAAACTGAATCGCATGTTCCTAAGTTTTGCTGGTGATCGTTTAAGGGCTGCTGGGTCTGTGCTGTGCTGTACAGGAATGTATAACAAGCTATCCTTTGATTCTGAACAAAACTTTTTTTTTTTTGCTTTTATGCTGGTTGGGTGATAAGTCACCTTCACTCCTTTGATCTGCCTGCTTTTGAAATGAGGTCAGTGTTTGTGCAGGTCCTCAAATTCACCAGTAGAGGGAGCAGGAGAATTATAGTACGCATTCTGTGTCCTTGGTGAAATGAACAAAGCCCACCTCATTCTGTTTTATGGAAAAATTATTTATGATTTAATTTACATTTAGAACTAGTCAGTGAGTTTAAACTGCATGTTTATCTGGCAGTTTAGGACTAAGCACCATCTTTAACAAATGATCCATTTACTTGTCTTGCAATAAGATTTTCAATCAAAACACAATCATGTGGTTACACAGAAACTGCAGGTCATAATCTTAAGCAAACAAGGGGCGTTCAGTTCAGCCATGAGGGATTTGTGTATTTGCCTGTCACCTGCGTGACTGTCAGAAAGGCCAACCTGTGTCCTAATACAGCAACGAGTTCAGGTTACTCCAGGTGACCTCTAATGCCTTGCTCTCCCATCCTGTATATTATGGGATAGCCCTGAATTGCGATTTGTCCTCTACTTTTGCATCTGGACCAATCGCCACCATCGACAAAAATCACTGGCCCTCTGATCATATTAATGTTCATCTGGGTTCCACCGGCATGTTCACCTACTTGGTATGTTCAGAAATTCAGAGAGAACCACCGCCCCCCCACGCCCCGTACCACAGCTGACAGCCAGTCACTGCAGTGGGAGGTGTGTGGTAAGGAAAGCGAAGGTCAGTCTCCCCAACAGCTGATTGTCATCCACTGAGTGGCTGGTGATTCGTTGACGGGAGATCTGCAAACTGTGTTGGATTCTGGCCCTCTAGGACTGTAATTGGGGGATGCTCACTGGGGGGGGGGGGGTCGCTGTGGTCCCCCACAGCGTTTACCTGAATCATTCACCTATCCCTTCAGCTAACACGATTGGGTCGATTCACAAACCAGCAGCTCCGCGCTCATAAAAAATATCTCAATTTAACTAGAAGTTGTATTACCAGCATGTGATTTAACCTCACATGATCCTCCCTGACGCCCACGGTATTATTGCACTGGGTATTTATTTCTCAAAGCTCCTCTTCTGGAAGTTAACCTGCAGAATTGCCTGTTTCCTCCCCACAGCTATAAGCAAAGAGCTCATACCCCAGGATCACTGTGTTTGCACTGTTAGCCTGATACTACTGGAGCCAAACTGGGATGTAAATGGGAGCTAGTGTCCAGATTTAGAGAGTGTACGTTTACAAATGAGAGAATTCAAAATTTCATTTAAATAGGCAAGTAATTAATAGGCACATTCATTGGCATGTGATAATTACAAATGTGCAGGAAAATGAACTGGCATCTTCCCAGCAGAGTTCGTGTCCTTTTCTGGAACTGGGTCGGGTTTCTGATTTCATTTGGCAAAAGTCCTGGTCCCACCCAGTTCTTAACTTCGGGCAAAACGTTTTTCAACAATGGGCACAGTCCAGCGGCAGCTGAGGGTGTTTTTCAGAGAGTGTGATGTTTCTCTTTTTCACGTCCTATGAAACCTGGCCTGCGTATGATTTTTCGTGCACCCAAAACGCCTCACCGCGGCAGGATTCTGCTTTCCTGCTATACAAACTGTAATTACCCAGAAATTCGAGCGCGGCGGAGCTCGTGTGGCTGCAGTAATTCGGACCCACTTTCCGCGAGGCATCCTTGGGCGGCTTATTTAGAGGCATGAGGAGCGTGGATTACATCGCTGTGGCAGCTCGGTTGACTTGTAGCTCCAGAGAAATTCCAGTGAAATTGTGTCCGACCTGTGCGTTCACCGCTGTGCGCCAGCGGGGCTCTCGCTGTGCCCATTCACCTCGCTGCCCACCCCCGTGAATATAAGCATGTGATTGGGCAGGGGCGTAGCTAGAAATTCTGGACCCCTTGACAAGAACTTGACAAGGAACTTTGTGTCACATGGGGGGATAGATTTTGCTGAGCGATAGACCCCCAACAGTAGGTTTATTTAAGGACTATACTGTGCTGGGCCCCCTGAATCTGCCTGGGGGTGTCCATGCCCATCCGATGCCCATCCAATGCCTCTGCAGGCTTTGCTCTGTGCCCTGGGGTTCCACGCTGACCTGGATGCTACCTGTGGCTTCCAGTTCTTCTGCCAAAGGAGCAATTGTTGATGACGTGGAAAATGCCCTGAGGATCAGGCCATGCCATGCCCAGTGCGGCCCAGCTGCTGCCCCTTGGACTTCGCCGCCAGTCAGAAGGAAGCACTCAACAATCTGATACCATGACTATGCGATAGTATCACTGTTGTGTGAAAACGGGGCTTTCAACTATGTCGTGAGTTTCGTCTGCTGGGGTGTCCTTTTCCTTCCGCTTCCGGAGCCTTCCACGGAATGGCCCAAGCCTTAAGAAGAGCATTTGTTTGACTTAGTGTCACGTGGCACCTGGAACAGAGAATGTCAGCCGCGTTGTGCAGTTTGCACCTGCCGTCATTCTTAATTATTCTAATGTCCTGTTCTTTGGCTAGAAGAGTCAGCTAAGCAGATTAATTGCAATCTTGCAGGTCAGGTTTGTCAGGATTTTTGCCATTTTTTTTGTAATTTCCTGGAAACGTCATTGGGGATACATGGTCATCTGTTGGTGTCAGAGTGGCCGTCCCTTTCTGCGGAGCAAAACGAGGAGAGGACCGCCTTCAAAGGCAGCGGGTCTGTTTATTTATCCCACAGCACATTTGTACAAAGCAGCCCCCAGTTTATGCAACCTCTTCAAAGGTACAATAGGAAGTTCCCCGGGATTTGAAACTAGCAAACCTCAGATAACAAGTTTGTACTGTACCATGTCACAATTGCTTTCAAACGGCATTCTGGGTGAATGGACCGATCTACGTTATGCAGAGCAGCATCTGGTGAGCAATGCGGGTCAGTTCGATTACCTGAAAACCTATTTGCAACCAATTTGAAAACCTGGTTAGTTTAATTTGCGTGACTTTGAAATCCCCAGCTCTGGCTGTGCTGCCGACCATGATTATAAAACATCCTGTTTGCTGAAGGTTCATAGAGCCAGGTTGTTAAAATTGATTGACGTGTCCTGAAACACTCTCTCTCTCTCTCTCTCTCTCTCTCTCTCTTTTTGTCTCTCTCTTGCTCTCTCCCCCTGAATTCTTCTTTGTTGAGGGGACTTCTCTCTTCTAAAATGTTAGGCGTGTATAGAAAATTACAATCTGTGCTTGTTAGTGGGTGGATTATAAAGAATAATACTTGGACCGAAGTTTGTCATACGCTGGTAGAGAGGGTAAGATCACATGGAGGAGGGGGTGCAATACATTTCCTTTTAGGAGAGATCAAAGTTCATTTGAGGCCTTATTCCGAGTCTTATTCTCTCTGTCCCTCTCTCTTCCCCCACACACAGTTTGTCATGGTAATGAGTGTGTGTGTGGGGGGGAGTTGTCGCAGGGGGGTGGGGGGTGGGGGGGGGTTGGTGCCTGTGGTGGTTACTGAATGGATGAAGAGGAGAGGGGCCGCTAACGGGGTAGGCCTACCAACATCAGAGAGGAGCCTCGGGGGGGGGGGGGGGGCTGGATGATGAAGGGGCCCCATACTTCTCCCCCACTGCCCCAAAAATGTCCCGAGTTATATTTATTGCCCCTATAGGGAGGGGTCCCCAAACCGCAGGAGTGTTTCTGACACTCATGGTAGCACCACAAACTCAAAGCTAACACCTACTCAGTAGTCCCTAGTGTACAGCACTGAGGCCTTACCAGCAAACTTGTTCCAAGCCCCTCCCCAGTTAATTGAATTACTTGTAGCTCTATAGTAAAATAGCTTGGACATGTGTGAGATGTTAATTAACCACGTGGAGAATGGGGCGGGGCTTTGTTCTACAGCTTCATCAAGGGCACTGATGTATGTCAAGCACTAAGAGCACACAAGCTATTCAGCAAAGGGGAGACACACCCAGGTGGTGCATTTTGTCTAAAGTATGTAAATAATCAACCTTCTTGACTGAAAGAGGCGGACTAACAATAGCCACTTCGGGTTTTCAGTATTATACTTGCATTCACGCATCTGCATTTCAACCATTCAGATATTTATCTGAATAAATATAAATAAACTGGGTCTATTCCTCCAGTCCACTAGGAGGCGCATAGACTTATCAAACACACACGTGGACAAGGTGCATTGGTGCATTAGACACGATCCAGAGCACTCTGTAAGTCTGGCAGGCTTAGTTGCACACAGCAGTGACATCCCCATGCACCTGGACGGCTTCCTGCACGAACAGGTTGATCCTTTCTCTTCCGCCATTTCCTCACACCACACAGAATAGCAGGCTTATGTCCAAAGCAAGTTTCATGACTGGCTATTTAGGTTCC